AATGTCAGCTGAATTTATTGTGTGATTTGTAGGATAAACACATGTTAAAAACAGACCCAGCTCTCTCAAGCTTGTTGAATATTTCTGGGTTAAGCCACCTTTGATTTCCTTCAATTAAACCCCAGTCTGGAAATGCAGGACATGATTACAAGAGACCACATCAGAATTAGCCACATGGGGAAAATAATCAGACCCCCTTTGTCAGCCAAACACACGTACAGTTGCAGAGAATATTGCACATTTGATGGGAGTCATACAGTGTTTAACTCTCAGTTCAGAAAACTGAATGTTTTAGAAAATAGCCATCTGATTAGTTGGAATGCTCAGCGGGTCTGCCAGTTTACAACAGCTTAGATTCAGCTATTTTTATTGGATAGGTATTGGCTGTAAAAGCCCAGTTCATTACCAGTCCTGTTTACTTGCTCCAGGTACGCCCACTATCATTTACACTCCTAAAATCACTGGAAACATCCCCTAACACACAGGGCTGAGTGTGGAAGTGTACTGTGCAGTGCACAAAGTAAATAAATATAGGCCAGATTTTTGATAGTCATAAAGCAGGTCAATGTGTGGCAGAACTGTTCGCAGTAAATAAAAACAAGCTAACTTTCCTTTTTTCTGCAATACTTTGTAGGTACACCACACCTTTAAAGTTTGAAAAATGGATTTGAACTTTAGGATTTTGTTCATATGAATGAAGAGAGGCCCAAGTAACAGGTCCAGGTTTGTCGCAGAGACCGTGGCTTTATCTTAATTTAAAAATAAAGAAAGAAAGAAAGATTCCCTGATCACACGTGGTACCGTATATATCACCACCTGTTAAACAGCTCTGCTGTTTTGATTTAGGCCAGAATCCTTTAGGTCATTTAGTTTTGGGAGTTAGAGATCCGGAAGAACTAGACAAAAACGAGTCAAACTTCATCTATGTCTGTGTTCTCCACTGTACATAAATGCTAGCTATAGTAAATATGAATGAGTGTATAACAATTCAAATATGCCATTTAGCCAACATTACTTTTACTGTGTTTGTACTTTTTATGTCTAGGTATCCAATGAAGAAATAAATCATTAGCTGTGGCAGAAGGACAAAAAAGCCCCAGAACATTCAGACAATGATATGAAAGTTCCTGGAATACCAATAGAAAAGTGGATGTTCTTCTGACTAAATGATGTTGCAGTTGTCAGTCTAAAGGCAACTTAAATGCTGCAGTGGAAGCAAATCACAGTAATGCGAGACACTGCCTGACAAAAGAGTTTGTCTTTCATGGTTATTACTTTGAGGCTTATTTTTGGCTTTCATAAATTGTACCACCATCCTGTTGCACAGCCACTCCAGGGCAGAAAAACACCTGAAAGGTTCAGAAAGCATTTCATAGTCTAGGAAACAGCAATATGTCTTTGTACAGCTCGGTACACTGCCATGACAATGTGTCTCTCTAGCCTGTATCTGACATTTCTGTGGACCCTCAGGCTTGACAGAGGCTCATGAACAGGGAACATGTTTGCCATGTTTCCCACACTGACCGGTTTAGTAACCAACATGCCTAAAGAGTGACTATTTGATTTTTGATTTGATTTGATTTATTCTTTCAAACATGCAGAACAAATGACATCAACACACACACATGATTACACAAAGCCAACCACAGCTAATCCAGAATCAGTTTGCTTATACCCAGCACATGTTTGAATGGAGTAGGAAGAAGTCAGACTTATCCAGTCCTACCCCAGAACAATCATCTTATACAAAAAATTTCATGCATCATTGGCTGCAAGCAGTATCTAAACATAGTAAATTTCTCTTCTTCACCAACAAGTAATACACAGAAAACTTAAAATAGATGGTTTCCTTCATGCAATCTTGATTAAATCTCTAATTCTTGCGTATATCTTGAATGACACATACATTTATATTTGAATTTAAACTCCTCAGTTCTAGTACTGTACTATCGCAGTGATGTTTTTAAAATACTTCATCACTTCAGAGCAAATGTGACCATCTTGAATGTGATCAGAATACACAGTATCTATTTCACTGAAGCAATGTGCTGAGTCTTCTTTTGATTGTGAATGAACAAAACTCTGGCTATCATGGTGGAATTCTGTATGCTCAGCAACAGCTCCTTATAAAGGGTAGAGCAATTTACAGCCTGTAATGAGAGTCACTGCCACAGCAAGTCCCATGGAATGGTAAAAATCCTCTTAGAATACAGATACACAGTGTTGTCTGGAAAATTCGGAGCTTCACAGAAGAGGAAATGGCAGCCTGAAGACCAGACACCTGGGTAGATGTCCTTATTTTCTCTCTGTGAACACCGACAAACTGCTAGCTGACTTTTAAAAGGTTACTAACCAGCTTGAACAATGGAAAAAGAAGAAATTATTTTATTTTAGTTTCACATAAAAAAAATCAAGCTTGAGACAAATAAGACCACAAAAGTATCTGATGAGATCCACATTTCAGAGACTGTCCTCCAGTAAAAAACAACAGGAATGTTGGTGATCTCTAGCAACCATAGTAAATAACAAAGGAGGAAGTCAGATGATGTAGTATATATCAAAGTCCCTATAGCGAGCACATTGAGATGGATGGAAGGGTAAGAAAATAATTTCAGTGTGAAAACACGTGTTTTATTGATGATTGTTCCACAACCTTGACCACATGTTTATCTTTGGAACCATGGCGATGGCTATTTTAACCCAAACCACAATGTTTTTTTATAAATCTAAACATACTGGTGTGTGCCCAGACCTAACAACAGACTACAGGATATCTTTAAATTTGCAGTTCGCAAACAATACTTACAGCATACGATGGATTTGGTCCCAGTGTTGTAGCTCAGCGTTCCAAAGTATTTGTCGAAAAGATGAGGCCATCCATTATTATCTCCTAGAGATGAAAATAACACAAACAGACAGAAATTAGAACCAATCATTTGTCCTTCAAAATCAAACATAATTTATTAGGTATAATTTGATGAAGATCTCATGTTCAGTTTAGAGAACAGCCACATAATAATCACTCATCCCTTTGATTGCATTCAAAATCATATTTTAATGTCCACTTAAATATGTACTCAATCAAAACCATATCAAAGTGATATACAGGAAAATATTTTTTTGAGGTCTTAGACAAATCAATCCACTAAGTGGATCTTAGTACTTTGCACTTTGGAATTCAAGTGCAAATAGATGCATAACCAGTCCAACCCCCTGGCAGAAGAGAGCTCCTTTGGGGCTGCAAAAGTATTCAACAAATGTAAATGCCAAAATAATTATTATTGCACTTGATGAAAGGCATGACTGCATTTTCTCTTGTGTGATATAAAATTAGAGGCTGACAACATCTATCTTCAGATATTTGCATGCTATTCCATTTTAGCTATGGACAGGTCACATCACAGCAAAGTGTGTTCTCATTGCTGCAACCCTTGACATGGACTGCTGTGACTTTGGAAACAACTGTTGTTTATTTGTTGCCACAGAGTCCTATTGTAGGAACATCAGATCAAATGCCACAAAAACATACGCATTAATAATAATAGTAACAGTGTTGATCACAGGCATGTGTGATGTAGCTCACTGCTAAGTCAGTGTCAGGTCTGAAGAACAAACAAACAGTGATCAGATGTCCTGCACTGCTGCCACAGAACCATTAACTAAAGGCAAGTAAAACTCTACTGGGGCATATACAGTGTATTCAATTGCAGGATTCTTATTTTGTTTTGATAAATCAAATCAAAAAGCAAAATAACACAAACAATGGAAACAATAATATTTGCAATGCATACAGCCAAAATGATAATATAGAAATTAGAGTTGTGTTTTTAATGCAGATGATGTGATGATATTTTTATAACACTGTATCAAATGACAATTTGTGTGGCATGTTAACGGTGTTACTTGCAGTGATAAATCTACAGAGAATTAACACCTGACTCTGTGGCTGCACACTACTTGCTCAGCACTAAATAGCACATAGAGAAATGAAGAGGAGAAACAGCAAACACAGTGGAACATTTAGCAGCTAAAGAGGCAGATAATACTCTGAGGACTTGGCAGAAACCCAGGACAGAGCTGGAATACTGGACCAAAACCTGACCCCAAATGAATAATAATGTTACTCTGAATCAGCTTGATGTGTAAATAAGTTTTTGCTAACAAATTTTCTATATCAACTTAAGAGGCGATATGTCCTGAGCCTCTGCGTGGCCATACATTTTTTTTCTAAACAATACATTTAACTGTACCTCAGAGTTTTTTTTTCTTTGTGAACAAGAGAGTTGTTGGTGATCACTGAGTTACAGAAAGTTAAATGTCCCTGTTGTCCCTTCTGAGATGCTTGCCACTCCAGTAACACTGCCTTGTGTCTCCATTGTCCCAGTTCTGTCACAACCTGAACTTTATCTTTTACTAAATTCACCAAATAAGGATTCTTAGTCATGCAGGTTATTTTTAGACTCATTAAATCAGTTACAGAAGAGACTGCTAGGGACTCCATTTAATTCTTGCTGGGCTGTTTACATCTTGATACCAGATGAGAGTCACTGAAAAGACCTGTGATCTCTTCAAGCTTCCACAAGATCATTACTACCTTGACATGATGTATTTCCTGCTGGAATATGGGACAGTAAAAACCCTACACTTAAGTTATGGAGAGAAATGTATCTTTATTTTGTCTAACCAGAAAGTGCAAGGCCTCAAAATCAAACTAAACAAATTAAGTCAGTGGACACTTTGCAGAAGATGATGCCAAAGATTGTAGCCAATCTTTCTGGAGTGCACACCAAAGGTCACGGGAGCCTGGATGTTAAAGTTTACAAGAATGTGATTCAGGTCAATCTGCATGTCCTTTTTAGACTCTAGGCATCCAGTGGAAAAGAAGCTGAAGACTGTTGGAACCCTTCACATGTGGGCTGAGAACATTTCAGGAAAAGGTCTAAATACTCGTAGCAGGTCAAAGTGGGAAAAAACATACACACTGCCTTTTTACCTTAATGGACAAAGTGCTTTGCAATTAAGCTTTTCATTCACCTATTCACATTCACATACACCAGTACTAAAACGCTACAACACTAAGCACTAGGATCAGGAGCGATTCTTGACACAGAGCTGTCTGAGGGATCAGAGAGCACGGTCATCCAGCGCCCTTTACGCACTGAAATCCCTCCAGATTCCTTGACTCTTTTAATTATGTTCTGCACCGTAGAGGGCGATGCATCCAAATCTGTTCCTATGTTTCTTTTGAGGAACATTGTTTTCAAATATTTCAATAATCTTCTCCTTCATTTGTTGGCAAACTGACAGTCCTTGGCCCATGTTTGCTCTTAAAGGGCCAGGCCTTTCCTGGGTGCCACTATTGTACCAAATCAGTGCCTGCATGGTTAAGTCACAATTTCTACAACCTCAATCACTTTCTCTAATCTAATATGTTTGGGACCTACGTGGTTATTTACTGTTTCTGTTTACTTAGTTTTAGGGCATGTGCAACATTTGTTGCAGAAAGAGATATCTGATTAGAAACCACACAAAGTCACATTAATCATATACTGTACAGAAGAAACCACTGAATGAAGAGAAACAAGAAACAAGGATCTGTGGAAATAAAACACATTCATCAAATTTGTACATATGAATAGTATATGAGCTGTGAGAGAGATAAAAAGAAAGAGTTGTAGTATCAGAAAAAGTGATGGAAACACAGATTGCTACTTCATAAAAATACACAACAGCGTTCACAAAACCTTTAAAATAAAGAGCACACTGAAAAGATGAGTCAGGAGTAACTCATCACACCAGAAACCAAACACTCCACCGACACCCTTGGGAAAAGTCCATATATTGCTCAGGCAGTTTTTGCTGCTTGCATTAGTTTATTATAGGAAAGTGCAAAGCTTCTTATTCAACAAAATGAAAACCATATTATTACCTTGAACTCACCTACAAATTCTAACAAATGCATTAAAATTCAGACTCTCACTTCTGTACTACTACCTTTGTTGACATACAAATTTTAACTGCAAACTCCTCTCCCACCGGTAGATTTTTGTATTAATATGTCAGAGCAGGAGGGCAGTGGCCAGAGATTTAAAAGGAAAGACTACATAGATTTCTTCTTTGGTCTACAGCAACGGCAGTCTAACTATCATTGCCATGAACACTGCAGACAGTGGATTTACCTAAATCCTGAAAGTGGAGGATAATTTTTCTGGGTTAAACAAGTTTAGCTTCTATTCCTTAGTCTGATTCCCATAGCTGCTTGATAGGTTTGGGTCTATTGCTGTAAAACAGACGCCTCGATGTTTGCTTTTTGGGGCTTCTTTTTACACCAGATAACTGTCCAAGGTATTGACTTAATTTCAAGGTATTTCAGAGCTCCATCAGACAGCATTCAAGTATTTGTACTGTGCGGTCTTGGGATCAGGGTTGCTTTGAAAACACCCCTGAATGTTGTGCAATTCTAAAAATATCCGAAAGGAAGAAAACACAGCCAGACACAGCCTTTAAACATAATGTTAGATGTCTAATGTGCTTATCTGTAAAGATTCCTCTAACCAAGGCTTGTTTTTAGTTGATCCACTTCACTTAATATCTCTTTGATAGTTCAACCTCTCTGTCCTGCTGCTGCTCCACGGCTGAGGAATCACAAATACCAACAACAGTTTCTTATCTTTTGGAGCCAACCGTGCCAATGCAAGTGGAGAAAGGGATGATTAGAGAGTCACCCAGTCAGAAAGAAGGTTTATGAAGACAACACAAGAAATAAGCTGCGGACTAGTTCACTGATTCAGTTCTACTGAAACTGCAGTGTTGCTGAAGCCCACCAACAAACCGGAGGCAACAGCTGGAGCGTGACAGTAACAGGGCTGAAGGCTTTAATCTTCCTGAACTATTCTGATATATTTCCAAAGAAAAATCACAGACTTGTAAAATTTCTGAGATGAGGGATGGCAAATAGCTTTTTCAGCATGATGATGAAAAAAAGAGTTTTAGTCAAATGAATAACTTTCTATAAATAGTAAAAGCTCCAAGTTTCTGCATCAGTCAGTGAAGGTCATTGTGTGCAATAAAAATTGTCCCAAACTTCCTGCAGGTAATTTTCTCTAATAAGCCTGATATAAACATCACAATGACTGAGCAGCTGCCACCTTTTTAAACTATGGTACCCCTTCGCCTAATACATATGCAAATGAAATTTTGTCTGATAACAGAGGAAGAGACAAAGACCAGTCCTGTGAAAAATGACACTAGTCTGACAAAAACACAACCCTCATCCTGTTGCTGTGTGTGATGAAGTCCTGGACTCTCTTCACCTTGTTAACAAACATCTTGAGAGAAACAAGATCTGATAAGGCACAGAAAAAAAAAAACAGAAGATGGAAACTCCCATCATCTGAGACTCTGGAGCTTTTTATCACAAAGATGCTCCCTGTCAGTGTGACTTTCACTTGCGTCAGAGCAGCTGAAAGCTACACTGAGAATAAGCCAAACAACTGGTTGTCAGTCCGCGCACATACCTGTGCATCAGTGGAAGTCAAAGGGAGAGAGATGACGAGTGAGCCAAGGAAAGCGCACCGACGAAGGCCGGACAGCTGAAAATGCTTTCTCTTCTTGCAAAGTGAATTCTTGTTATTGAGTGCCATCTTAATTTGCATTTATTTGATAATATTATTGGGATAATGCACCAATTCTGCACAAAAGATGAGCCAAATGAATTAACATATTACAGTTCCACACATGATGGGGAGGCTGTTCAGGCAAGGAAGTGTTCTGTCACAGTGCCATCAGCTTGATAACATGCTCACGACTACAGTACTAATAAGGTTTGGTGGGTTTAATGTTTATCATATTTACCATGTTATTTTAGCTTGTAGCATATGAACATTTGCCAACTAGCACCACACAATGTAGAGTTATGAAGTGGGTGAGGTTGCTGTTTCTTGAAGTGTTTTCCCCTGGGTTCCCATTTAAAAGTTGTCTTCAAAGATATCCTAATGTTACTTAACACAGAAACACTGGACCTTCCTGAACACTACACTGAACAAAGTAGGCTCAGGACTTTGGCTCTTGACTGCTGTTCTCTGTAAAATACTAACTATGTGCCATGTCTGCAAGTGACATCAGATCAGCTAGACATCAAATCTGCCCCACGAAACCATCTAGTAAGAGAGCAATGTCAGACTGAACACTGGAGAGTAACAAACTGCCGATTCAGTTAGAAATAACAGACCGTCTTATTGGGCCCATGGTTCTTATACTTGTTCTGTCTAAACACAACATGTATTCAGCATTTTGTTTTTCAGAGCACTGAGGGCAGGCTGTTAGTTTATGAATGAGAGAGGTACTTTGAGAATTTGCACTGTATAGTTGATTACTTTATCTGCTGAATCAACTCTTCAGTGAAAAGCCCATAATGACAGAATAATGATCTTTGTGTTTTTAAAATCTGCTGGATCAATCCGTCACCAAAAATAGAGCTGGATGGGTTTGTCTAACTGAAAGTTTCAAACAACCTATTTTATATCTGGTTCAGTTCTGCAGCTTTAAGAATTTGGAACTTGGCCTTTTCCACCACCTTAACATTTATCCACAAGGAATTAGGAGCATTGGTGTCCTGCACAGGGATGTTTGAAAATGGAGTAAAAGTAAAATGCCTCAAGAGGATTTTACCAGTGACTATCAAACTAATAAGTGAGCAATGTGTTCTTTCTGACAGGAGTAATATCCTACAGGTCTGGAGGTTGAGGCAGGTATCAATTACCTCTTTGCAAATGCAGATACTGTTGAAAAGGTCACCTTGTTGCAAAAGTTACCTTTATTTATCTCCAATCACTCGTTAAACATTGTTTGCTTTCTGATGTTTGATCTTCCCTGTTTTTAAAAGAAACTGCAGTCTAGTTAAATTTTTAAAAGTGCTGTGAAGGACATGCAGCTCAAAAGCCCCATTCGCAACCCAAAAAGGAACTACCCAGACAGCAGTATTTTGCATTGTGATACAGTATGCCCTTCATAGATACTGTAACTGAATCTCCTGTTCAATGTTAGGTTTAAAGTATTTTATGTTATTGTTTAGGTTATGTCATTAAAGAAGCATTACATTATATGTGGCCACTTGGGGGCAGTACAACAAACTGCAAACAACACTGAAATGTTATAAAAGTATAAAGTGTGTAAGTATAAGACATGTGTTAACAGTTACCTATTTACACATCTAACAGTTCTACCACTCATCCATAATGACAAAATGTCTCTTTAGCTACTAAACTATGTTCCAATATGTTGAGCAGCTAGTTTTCTAACTCCATCATCCATTTGGTACAGAGAGGTCTTTTGCTGAAACTGCAGCCCACAGCTGAAAATGATCCTGGGAGCAGTCAACAGTAAAGCTGCAGCCAGTAAAAGCAAAACATGATCAGGAGCTGAAATGCTACACTCTATAGCTGAGGGCAACTACAGGGCTGGTCATAATCATTTGTGGGTTCATTAGTATGACTGACCTCTCTCACATACTATTTTTCCATTTGAGAAATATCAGTTAATGTGGGCAAATGTTAAGTGCAATGTCTAAGCAGACAACAGAAGTCAGCATGTAGTTGGAGATGGATGTTGTAAATGCACTCAAACCCTCACCTCTAAACAAAGCAATGAAAAGTTTAGCTGCAACCTGAAGAGTGAGATTTACTAAGTGATACTTAGTAATAGTAGTAGTATGGTATTATTAACTAATACTTATTATTTCATCAGAAAATCAACATCCAGTGATACACCCATTTTAGATACACCTCTACAAAACCATTTAATCAAATACAATACATTAGCCCTGCTAGAAACTGAACCAATTTTAAACACATCATCTTCTTTCTCTGTTTCCAATAGGTGTTAATTCAAACCCATGGTTAAACCTTTATTCACAGATAAACTAAAAACAACAGCACCCAGAGTAACAAGAGAAGCACTACTGTAAGTATGTGTTTCTGGGATGTAACACTGGGTTAGCCATCAGTGTACTCGTATCATATTTGTGATGGTCCATCCATCCATCCATTTTCCTCCGCTTATCCGGGACCGGGTCACGGGGGCATGTGATGTGATGGTGCACTTCTAAATATGTCTGGAGATAGAAAAATGCAGTGAAACAGTTCTAGCTTTAAACCAACGGCACTTACTGGACACAACACTGGACATCTGGTTATAATTCTGGCCGTGGGATGACTAAAATCAAAGGAGTCAGGTGGGATAGGTATCATTTATTATAAACTGACAACTGTTTTATAAGCTGCACCTGTTTCAGCACAGGAGTCATGACTGATGAACATCTCCTAAAGATAAAATCAGTCACACATAAGCCTGTTTTCACAAACTGGAGCTGCAGGTCAGCAGAGGTGAGGAAGTTATTATTATTATTATTATTATTATAATACCATAGTCATATAATCTTTATGAAATAACTTATTTTCTTCTTTTTTTTAGCAGATTTTAAAACAGACCACCTGGGAGCAGAAAAGTAGAGAAGGTCAGTTTCTGTTAAATCCTGGTGTTGTGGCAGATGAGTTACATTTTAATGAAGGTATCCACATCGTGTCAACACTGTGCCAGCTATGCATAACATACACAGGATTTTGGAATAGTACCAATAACGCAGAGACAGATCATGCAACATGCACACATCACTATGAGTATCTGTGTGCCCCTACAGTTATCCGATGCTGAAATTTCCCCATTGAGGGATCAATAACCTCTAGAGTCCTGAGCTTTGGAAACCCAAGCTGTGCGGTCCTCATATGAGGACGCAGGGACTCTAGAGGTTATAATACCTACCTACCTTCCTCCCCGGTTTTAACTATACTGTAAGATCACTGACACCCCGGCCCCCCCTCACCACTCTCTCAGATCACTTCTCCACTATTCCTTGATCTTTCCCCGATTGTGTGCATGAGGCACGTTTCAGTTCTGTACATCTGGTGGTCTTTCAGAAGACAGCGGCTTGTGTCTCTGCCTACACAGATGGCTAAGATTGTGGTTCAGAGTTAAGCCTGTTTTACGTGCTAGTTTAGATCCATTAGATCCACTGGAGAGTGACAAAGCACATGTATGGGATGTGACTAAGCAGTAAACTACTAAATTAGCTGCCACGTCCATGTACATCTTCAAGGTCAGAATGAAGTCACAATGTAATAAAGTGACTGCACTTGTACTCATGAAAGTGGATTTTCATGAGGTTTTCATGTACATGTCAGCTATGATCTAAGTGCCCCACAGAGCTGGTACATTACAGATGTGGACAACAGGTTACATAGTAACATTTGTTACATATTGACATTTGTTCAAGTGGCAGCAACAACTCACCACAGTTCTCTTCATCTGCTTGATTTCCACAATCATCAATGTTATTGCAGTGCATGAGCTGAGGGAGGCAAATGGTCAGGTTGCCACAGGGGAAATATCCAAGGGGACATGTTGCCCTCTCCTCTGTGATATTTAATGCTGTAAACAAAGCAGAAAATCCAAGAATATGATTATTCATGTAAAATTTCTGCCATACGAGAGTCATACTGACAGCCCGATCTTACAACATTATCCTTGACATGTGGAGTGTGTGCGTCTCACTGACTACTGCACATACAGCTCCGATGTGAGTGTTTTCATGATATTTTTATATACTTCTCATTATATTTCTTTTCACTCGCTGTTTAAAGTGCCTTTAGACTTTGTGCTACTGTTTATCTACTTTATATTTCACTTTTTCTTTCTCTTTATTTAACCAGGTAAAAAACCCATTGAGATCACGATCTCTTTTACAAGGGTGACCTGGCCAAGAGGTCAACAACACCTGTCGTCAATACATAAGTTTCAATACAAATCAAAAACATTAAACATTTAAACAATCAAAACCATAAATACAATAATCAACAATACAACCAACACTTGTGTTGTGTGGTATTCAGGGTGGACGGCAAAGCAAGAATTTCATTGTGCAGAGAAACACATTTCCATACGTATGACAATAAACACTTTTAATCTTGAATCATTAAGGAGGGTTTACGTGCATTGTCCAAACCCATGCCAACAGGCTCTACTAGTGCTTCAGGGAGCAGTTCTGTGTGTACTCTTTACTTAATCAACAGTCTTGTATCAGAATCAGAATCAGATTTAATGGCCAGATGTGTTGAACATACAGTTCTCAGCATTAAATGGGCATTTACAATGCTCTTGCGTAAGGCAACGAGTAGACAAGTAAAATTCTTCCTGAAGTCCACTGTCATTTCCACTGTTTTGAGCGTGTTCATCTCCAGGTTGTTCCAACCACACCACAGGACCAGCTGTTCAACCTCCCGCCTGTAGGCTGACTCGTCACTGTCTCACATAAGAACGATGCCCATTGTGTCATTTGCGAAATGCAGGAGTTTAACAGAGGTGCAATCATCTGTGTAGGGGGAAAAACAGGAGTGGGAAGAGCACACAGCACCTGTGCTGATTATCTAGGTGCTGGATGAGGTTTTCCTCAACCTCACCTGCTGCTTTCTTTCTGTCAGAAAGCTGGTGATCCACTGACAGGCGTGGGTAGGCACAGTGAGCTGGGTCAGTTTAGCTACTGTTGTACTTCAGTCTGCTGGAAATTATGCAGAAACAAACAGCGCAGACTTACATATGATAAATGTAAAGCATTTCAAATGTCATGCAAACTGAAAGGGAAAATAATTACTTCCCTCATCTAATCCTGCCTTCATTAGTGAAATTCGTTTCATTTGCTTCAGTGACTCTGCCTTATCACGCCTGTGGTTTCTGCTAAAGAGTCACGATTTTGCCTAAGTATGTCACACTACTGTGAACTCTAACCACAGTTTTGCAAATTATTATTATTAATATTTTGTGGGTAAATAAACTACACATACCGCATCACACACATTCAGCTTTTAAACATAAAAACTGGCCTCACCAATTGGTCAGAAGCTGGTTAGCGCACAATGTTTCAGAACAGGCAGAGGAACAGGATACATTTTAGAGCTGATAGCATCACAGCATCAGTTTGACTAAACCATCTCATTATTTTATGAATATCTGCTTAACTTATGAAATCTGCTTGGTAGTTGAATGCTAATTGAAAATTTAATTTGACTCAGCAAAATAAATATATTCTTTATATATTCTTTATATAGTACAAGTACAGTGCCCTGAAAGACAGTCTGACCTTCTGATGGCTGAATGTGAGTCAAAAACAGGCGGTACAGAGATTTCTTTTCTTGCCAAATGTAAAATTTCTTCAACCTCAATGGCACATCTTGTTCTTGGGGGCATAAAAAGGATCTCATTCCATAAAATCACAGATCTGAATGCAACCAAAGAACCACGTCCATCATATAAAACCTATCTGTAGCATCTGAAATGGTGTTCTTCAGTCCTAATGTCCTGTTGACTACAAAACTACATCACACACTGAAAAATAACTCCATGAACTTCTTGTTTGTGGAAGAATTGTTATTCCTGATAGTAACATCAACCAAGTCATTTTGGGGATATTCTGTGCCCTTAATAGTGATTCCACAAGGGAGACATTACAGGAAATGAGGGAAAAACTGGGGAATGATCCATGACTGGCAGCTGGAAATGCTGTGATTCATGGCCAGTAACATTCACTATAAACCACTAGAGAACAATAAAATAAAATATTGTCTTTAAAATTTGTTCTGCTGTCAAAGACCTCGAGTTATGAAAGTATTCTCTCAGTGCCAAGAAGTAAGGACTCTTTGCTCAACGCTCTATTTTACAAAAACACTGACACAGTATATTATAAGTAGAAATCCACCAGTGTGAATCATCTCAGGTAAAACCGTGTCCTAGGAGACGGCTCATCAAAATCCAAGCGCTTTTAAAGAATTAATTAACACTCAGCACAATCAGACATCTCTCAAACAACAGATCACAAAGCTAAGAAAGAAGCAAGCTGTGCCATCTGTTGTGGCGCCGTGTAATGCTTCTTGTGCACTCGTGTCCAAGCACAGCAGTGTTTGAATTGTTTAGGACCTTTATTTTATTTTAGCTGAAATGATCTGAGCTTCAATTATCTGAAGGTCAAGCTAAGGTCAACAGGGAAGGAACATCACATAATCAGCTAAACGGTACAATTCTTCTTCTACTCTTGCTGATAAACACTGTGGGAAATCTAGAAAATCACCAATTAAGGAAGAAAAGATGCGCCTGTAAACATGTGTCACAAAAAGGCCACTAAGTCTACTCTGACAGCAAGTTGTTATATGGCTCTGAGTGTTTACTCAGACATGGAGTGCATTCTTCTAAAGTAAAATGGAATTCAATTAAAGCACAGGAGATCTTCACCCATTAGTGGCTTTGCTTTGCTTTGCTTTAGACGTGCATCTCATTTACAACAGTGAGGTTTCAGTTAGGTGCTAACTCTGAAATTCCAGCCTGACGGGTGCTGGACCGAGAGATAACATAGCATCTGCTTTTGATAACAAATACCAAATTAATCACTGTTCCCTGGAGTATAAACTCAAAGATTCTTGACTAATATCACATTCTTGTATAAATGGACATGCACTAATGTGTGGAATGTGAGATGCCTGCCATCACCATGCTAATTTCTATCAGCCTAAGGAGCTCCACTGCTGAAGCTGATAGTTCTGTGATTACATAATATGAAAGCTCCTATAAACACTTCATATTTTTACGACTAAGAGAAGCAAAATCCAACAACTACGACATATATTTCTTTGCAAATATGTAGCCTAGCCTACAAGCAATGATGAAAACAATCAGGATATGTTTGTTATTTTTTTCTTTAGTTAGTACATTGTTGTCTGTCCTTAGTAAAGCTGGTCAGTCAATGTTTAACCTTTTCAGCAGCAAAGTAGTCTGACAAGTGTGTTTGTCAGCATTACCAAAGCCTGACGAGGTCACAATGCCCTAAAATCATTAATGAAAAGAGGATGACTTGGATAATTGTGCAGGTCACAGTTCAGCCAAAAATGTGACAACATATTCATCACATCTTATAGGGAGTCTAAATTTCTGTTACTTAGTGATGTGTTAGTGTGTAGAACATTCTCAGCCAACACATGAACTGTAGACACTGCGATGTTTAGCACTACAGTTCTGTTGTAATATTCTTATAACTGCCAGTAAGGTTGGGAATGGTGAGTCAATCTGAAAAAGCAAATGTGTAATTTATAATTAAAAAATACAAGAGGCATTACCTTAAATGGATGGAGACAATGATTTACTAGGCTGGATGGCCACTCTGACAGCTCTCTATTACTACCTGGCTCCATCACTGAGTCAATATGCTGAGCCAGCCAACCAGAAGCTGACAGGGATCGACTAGAGCCAGCAGTGCAAAAATCACAAGCTAGGTTTGGCGACAGGTGCCCAACAATGACTAAACAGCGCCCAGTGGCAAAGTGTATATGAATCAGTATCGCTCTTTCAGGGTCTAAAGAGTAAAACCGTGACAACATAAAACATATTTGCTGTATGTATTTGCTTCCTCCTGCAGGAGATCCATTTCTAACATGGCAGCACACAGCGGGGGCAGTTATGGCTTTAAAATTGTCTTGCTCTCCTGGATGCTTGCTTGTGGCTAGAACACAAACACAGCAAAGAGTTGTGCAACAGATTCCTGTCTTTTTAGCCCATAAGAATGTTTACAGTTTGAAATCAGCGGCTGGATGAATGGAGAGCTTTTGTCCTCCAGGCTAAGGACCTGCAACCTGTACTTGCCCTTAATACAGAATGCACACAGCACTGCTGGGTTAGATCAGCTTTACAGTTAATCCTGGGGATGTCTCATAAGCAGCCTGTGAGAAAGCTCCCACTGACAACAATCTCTTCCACTTACAGGTAATTTTATTCAGGCAGGTACAGGGTGGCACATGCATTGCCTTAAAACCATATGATAGCTCCCTCTGTTTTCAAACCAATATAACAAAATTACTGTGAAAATCGCAGAGATCCTCCTGTGACGACCCTCAAAATGACCTTCCTTTCTTTCTCCATAATCATTAGTGCAGATTTGAGAGATATTGCACTGGAGTCACCTCAAAGTTACTTCTTTTTTTCTCCACACATTTAATGACAAATGTTATTTGCTTGCGCTTGAAAATGTGTTTAAGAGAAAGAGACTGAACTGCAACGAGTTTGACCAAAAAGAGAAGTTGCTGAACTTACCCGACACACCATACACGAATATCACAGCCACATAAATCTGCATGATATCTCTTGAAGTTTTTTTTGTGGAAGTCGCGCTGATAGGCTGTTTTTTCAAACTGCGAGTCTGTGCGCAAAAAAATCCCCAAAGTTTGGTGGAATCTTGCTATTGTGTGATAAACGAGTGAAGTGTGCGGAGAAGACAAGCGGGTACAGCGGCAGCAAGAGGAGAACCTGCAGCTGGCTTGATAGGTGGACTCGGTCTGCAGCCAGCTCGACTGGGAGAAAGGTCTAAAGAACCAGCTGCCGTCGTGACGCACGAGCGGCAGCGGCACAGGTGCGCGCAAAGAGGGGTGGGAGTGAGAGTCGGAGAGGGTGGAGTGGTGTGTGGAAGCTACGTATCTGGGGCTCGGAAGAAGAAGAAAATCCAGGGACGGAAACTAGTCTGGCCGATGCTGTTCGTCAAATGTTCTGTTGGTTTACATTGATTCCCTGTCACTGTGCACTAAGACAACCAGGCACAGGGACAGTTTCTTCCCTCAGGCCATCACTCTGATGAACTTAACCCACGACAGTATGACTGGACAATAACCCTCAGTGCAATACCTGTAAATATACATTGTACAGATTATACAGTTCCGTACAGGTCTCTAGTTTTAAGTACTATGTTTTTATTCCTATTTATCTCATTTCAATAAACATTCCTTGTTGTCTGCATTGATTACTGCCTGTTTATACAGCTTATTTTGCATTGTTTGCACTGTTTGTTGCTTGTTAATACTGTTTATTATTTTGATATACTACACAGCCTTATGTTGGTTTACTGTTTACATGCCCCTTGCATGGGGATATGTACATGCACATTGAGAGCTGATGTACCAGAGTCAAATTCCTCGTGTGTCCGACACACCTGGCCAATAAAGCTGATTCTGATTCTGTTGTCGGTGCTAATATCACTAGGTGCCGTGTGTCAGTTCTACATAATGCTGTATAAAAGCACATTTCCACATGTGTGCTCCTAGGGGGGTCAGGGAATTGACGCCTTTAAGAGCACTGCAAACCATTTCACTGCCTGTGACCTTAAGGATTAAGGAGATAAAACAACCCTGGCAAGATTACCTGAGATGATTCTCTCCTGTGCTATAGCCGAAATCCTGGAAGCAATCACAAGCAGAATCAGTTAGGGTCTATCTCTGCTACTGTTTCAACGTGTTTACTTGACAATTCTTGCTCTCAGGCAGAAGCTCTGTAAGACTGATCCATGCATGAAATCCCATTCCTAGATTTGACTGGTTCATCTTTTCTTTTTTTCCCTTGTAGCTCAGTTTATTTAACTGCATCAGAACACTCAAGTGCTTTCATCAAAAGTTTGTTAAAGTGCAAGAAAGTAAAATTGCACCAGTCAATATTTTATTTTAACAACACATCTTATGTTACTTGGAATGTGAAAGGGGTGATTAAAAGAACCCACACAGAATTAACCTCTCAGCTTTAACATCTTTTAGTTCACTGTTTTGACTATACTGTTTCTGCTCAGACTCATTTTCAAAAGGTCATGTTGCGATCACAGCTTGTTCGCTGCCACCAAGTGGCTAAAACCATAAGTCATTGCTGCTTTAAAGGACAAATCTAAGGTTTGTTCACTCAGTACATGCTGACATACAAACTCCACCTACTTCAAGATAAACATGCCACAGAAGTTCATTCATTCCATTATTCTAGTTGCTGTTCGCAGTGAATGGCTTGGATGCACAAAGATGTCTATCAGAGAGTCAGGCTGTAAACATAAAATCTGTTTACTTTTCAGATGAAATTTTCTTCTTCTTATCTCCTTGGATTCCCCGTAGAACAAAGGGCCTCAACAACAGCTCTCCAACGCAGTTTATTCTGGGCAGCCTTTTTCACTTCACCCCACGACAGGTTGCACTTCTTCATTTCCTCTTCACAGGATCGTCTCCACGTGGTCTTAGGGCGACCGACCCATCTCTTTCCCCGAGGGTCGCATTGCAAGGCCTGCCGGGTGATGTCCTGTGAGGGTTTCCGCAGGGTGTGTCCTATCCATTGCCATTTACGCCTGGCAATCTGCTGGTTGATGGGATCTTGGTTTGTCTGCTGCCACAACTCAGTATTCTTTAGTTTATCTGTACACCTGATCTTCAGTATGTTGCGAAGGCAGCCATTGACGAATACTTGGAGTTTGTTGGTTAGGGTGTTGGTGACCCTCCAGGTCTCTGAGCCATAGAGAAGGACAGACTTAACGTTGCTGTTGAAAATTCGTATTTTATTGCGGACAGATAGGGATGTTGACCTCCAGACTGGTCTCAGGTTAATAAAGACGTGTCTAGCTTTCCCGATTCTAGCTTTGATGTCCTCGTCAGAACCACCTGATGCTGATACAATGCTGCCCAGGTAGGTGAAAGAGGTGACTTCTTCCAGCTCGCTGTCTCCAAGGGTGATTGGCTTCTGCTGCTTTTTTAACAGGGTCATGATTTTAGTCTTCTCTAGGTTGATCCGCAGTCCAGTCTTGGATGCTTCTTGGGCTAGGCTATCGGTTTTCTGGTGCATATGTTGGCTTTTCTGGGACATCTGTCACAAGTCGTTCGCAAAGTCCAGGTCTTCAAGGAATTGAGTCAGGGACCACTGGATTCCGGTTTTTCCTGTTTTAATTGTCTGATGCATCACCCAGTCGACCACTAACAGGAAGATCATTGGGGAGAGCATGCATCCTTGTCGGACTCCTGTTCTCACCTCAAACTCCTCTGTCAATTTGTCGTTATGGATAATTTGGCGTGTGGCGCCTTCATAAAGTTGCTGGATCAGGGTGATGAAACTTTGAGGGATTCCATAGTGATGGAGGAGCTGCCAGATAGTTTCCCTGTCCACACTATCAAA